ATTATACAGCAGCCGCCGCCTGCCCCAGCACAGAGTATGGACTGCCCTTGGTGTGGGCAGTCTTTTGCCCGGCATCGGGCGCTACGCACACACGTGGCTCGCGTACATAGGCAACTAACTACACTTGCACGTGGCTATGCCAACCCGTCAGGGGTATGTCAAACATGTCTGCTCAGGTACAATGCACGGCCACATCTAGTGGATCATCTGTCGATCGATTCGCCTCGCTGCTTGCTGGCTGCTGTGCTGACTATGGTCAATCCAGCCTACCACCTACAGCTACCTGCCCAACCGATACTACCACGTGGACATACCACCAACGTACATATCCCTCGTCGCCACGTTGTCGTACCCACAGTTCGGACGCCGGGCCCCATCACCAAGATTGCGTTCGACCTTGCCGCGTTGGTGCCTCAGGAAGATGCCCGCCGAGCCCTTTTGGAAAGTGACCCGTATCTCACTCCAGAGGCTTGTGCCGCACTCCTGCCACCACCACGGCCCGCTGCGGCCGAAGGAGATGCCTCTGAGCCAGGCCAACCACCACCGGTCTACCACGAGCGCTACCCGACGCGAATGTTCTTGACCGAGCAGTTTACCGACATTGCTGCTCAGGATTTGCCCATTGCTATCCGACGGTCGGAATATTTCGTGCTTAACCTGCACTGTGGCCGACGACGGCCTGGTGACATCCAGGCCTGCCTCGAATGGACCGAGTATCATACCGACTTCACCATTTCGGTTTTATCTATCGATATAGCGATCGACCCAGTACTAGGTAACATGATGCGACGCGAAACGCTGGAGGTATGGAAGGAGCATATACGAGCCAGGCGAGTTGTCTTGTCAGGCGGCGGGCCACCCTGTGAGACGTGGTCAGCTATCCGTTGGTCCCCTGATGCAGGCCCTCCCCCCCTACGGTCCTATGCCGATTTCTGGGGTTTGCAGGCCGTCACTCCCCGACAAATGGAGCAGTTACGTGTTGGTAACGAACTATTAGGGGCGATGATCGAACTGTTCGCCGTGCATCTCACCGTCGGTACCTCATGCTGGATGGAACATCCTATGCCTGCGCACTGGCGACCCGACTCCGTCAGTTCATTCTATTGCCCGCCCCTACGGGCTGTTATGGCATCCCCAGCAGCGTCGGTGACCGACTTCGATCAGTGCGAGCACGGTCAGGTTGCACGTGCACCTACAAGGATACTTGCACTGCGCATGGGCACAATGCACGGACGCTTGTGCGAGACACCTGGGCGTGGACGTTGTTCTCACGGACGTGGGGCTCACGAGGTACTAATGGGGTTCGACAGGCGACGTGACGAGTGGCGTACGGCCAAAAAGAAAACCTACCCTCCGGCCCTATGTCAAGTCCTCGCAGACAGCATAATGGACGCAGTCAATCATATGCGCGTGACGTGTGCAGAGCATGATTGGCCAGAGGACATGAGGGAGGAGGAGGAGGAGCTCCGTGGGTCGCTTGCAGCTTTTTATGTTTCATGGGACCCGTACGTCGGTACGGACGAGTCCTGGGCCCCAGATTTTGTGTCGACGCGTGCTAGTCGGACTCGAGCGGATCCCGAGCGACATCGGTTCCTGCCACCTGAGCCGCAGTCGTCCTCTCAGCCCATGCCTGGAGTTGTTTTTGATCCCGAGGCTGAGGCCCGCCCCCCAGGGCCCATCGAGGCCTCGGAAGAGCAGGAGTACGCAGACGCTTTAGCGTTCCTCGATGGCACCATACCCCCTCAGCCAGGGGACTCCGAGCCACTGCATGAGCTTACCGCGTCCTCTCTTCCCCCTCCGCTCCCCCCTCAGCCCGTTGAGTTGACTGATGCGATGCGTGCACGTATTGCGGCTAACCGAGCACAGGCTCGAGAGCGACGCCGTCAACGGCTCGCACAACGCATCGCTCCCTGGACATTCCAGCCTGGATTCGGAACAGGTATTTTGGACATGCCCCAGGTCTAACGTAGCTCGCTGCATACCGATTGGGATGGGTTTTGGTTGAGGATGAGGAGGTGGGAGGTTGTTGATTTTGTCAGTGCGCCTCGCTGTCCCATGCCCGCCCGATTGCCCCTACTCCACCACCCCGTTGCCAATACTTGTCGTAGCAGCGCTACCTAGACAGCCTGTGGATGATGCTATGGTTCTTGCAAGCTGACGTTGGTTTTGCCAGTTTCCCCTTGCTGGAGGTTTCCGTGGGATACTTCCCCTCCCGTTAAATGAGCTTGCAGTTGCCATTGCACGGCTTGCCTGTTTGGGCCTGTTGCCGACCATATCGTGTGTGGTCCGCTCGTTCGAGCTTGCAGTTCCCCTCGTGCCTGTGTGTACGTGTTGATCCCTATCTATTTCACCCGTGCTCCCAGATGGCCGCCGCCATTGGCAAACGCCTCCAGTCTCCTAAGACCCAGGACCAGATGCGCCCTCTGGAAGAGGAGTATGCCCATGGGTCAGTTGGTCAACCGCTCGGCTTTGGCGTGAGATGTGACAAGCTTCGGTCTAGTGTCCTGAGAGCCAGGCAGACTGGAGTTGCTGGCGATGCCGCAGCTGTGGCTCGTGCCGCCATGGAGGAGTGGAGGATGAGGTTTAGAGGGCTGCAGCGGACGTGGGGGAGAGCAGAGAGCAGGGCGCGTGCGCGCGCCCCGCCGCCCCGCCGCCGCACGCCCGCCCCGCCGCCCCCGCCGCCCGGCGCGAGCGAGCGGCGCGGCAGTGTAGCAGCGAGCGACTCCTCGCCTCTCCCCTCCGTTTTGTCAAACTTCAAGCCTTGGCCCGTGGGGGGCAGCGGCAGGGGGCTCGGTGAGCGTAGACCGTCGCTAACCACACACCCGTTGCGTGTGGCACCGAGCCCCCGAGTGTCCGTCAGTCCGCGCGGCCGCCAGCCAGGTGCTCATGCGGCTGCGCGCCGCAGCCCTCGCCTGCCGCCAGCTTTTCTTGCTGTTGCCTTGCAGATAAGGTTCGGAGTCGTCGGGAGGGATGAGAGTGCAGTCCTCCTCAGCTCAGACAGTTGGCAGTTGGCTAGGTCCGTTGGTAGACGAGACCAAGTCGGACGGATCGAATGAGACTGCAGCGAGTCAGACGCAGCCGCCTTCTCTCCCCATCTTGCCCTCCCTCTCCAATGCCGTGATCAGAGAGAATCGAGCCCTGGCGGACAGGGAAAGTTGGGAACACCGTGGCAGGACCGCCCCTCTGTTGTTCCGTACGCTCTCTCCTGACCACGGCTGAAAGTCAGCCAAGCTGGCGTTTAATGACTAGTGGAGGTTGGTGGGTTGTTTAAGGATACTTTGGAGGTGGGACTTGCACTCGGCGTTAAGCCCGAACTGTGTGCTGAGATGTACCTTGCCTTCGGTGCGAGATTCGAGTTTTAGTACGGACGCAGAAGCTGTCCATGCCAAATGCCTCCAGTCGATAGTGGCCGCGCCTCTGCCAGTGCCACACTGCTGCCTCGCATCCAGTCGCTGGCGCAGTTAATACTATGGGACTGGGTGGGTTTGTGCATTTCATGGGAGGTGGGATGGAGGTACTGTACTGTGCTTGTTCACTTGGTGCCCGCGCAGCCATTTAAGTCTGCTAGCCGCAGCGCCGCTCTTTCTCTGACCGTCACCAGGCGAATCAGATGCGCAATCTAAAATCTCCCTCCTCCTCCTCCTCCTCCTCCTCCTCCTCCTCCTCCTCCTCCTCCTCCATCTCCTCCTCCCTCCGCCCTCCGCCCTCCTCCTTCCTCCCTCCTCCCTCCTTCCTCCTCCCTCTTCCCTTCTTCCTCCCTCCTCCCTCCTCCCTCCTCCGCTCTCCTCCCTCCTCCCTCCTCCTCTTTCATCCACCGCCCGCTGCCCCCTCCCCCGCCCTCGGCAGAGGGTGCCGATTATCACGACTGCTGCAACGCGACTGCCCAACTAAAGGGTGGAGGAGGAACAGGAGGAGGTGGACGAGAGAGAGAGGAACGAGAAGGAGAAGGGTGGATGCGGGTGCGAAGGAGCAACGAGACGAGGAGGTGGAGGCAGAGGGGAGGAGGAGAGGGAGGAGGAGTTTCATCGGCTGGCGTTGACTGCGGCGCCACCGCGCACTGCTTACCAGTGTGCCGGAATGTCCCGCCGCTGGCAATGGACGGGCCCAACGGCGATTGCGGGTTTGGTGGGGGTGATTTCGTAGGCAGTCAACCGTGGCCGTAGTGCACATCCTTCGCCTCCACAGACAGAGCAGCGGCGGCATCACCTGCTGGGGGCCAGAGGTGGGAACGTGAGCTCGCGGTTTCGCGCTTTGTCATTCCCGCCGATCGTTGTCTTTGCCCCGCAGATCGTCTCCAGACATGCTCGCGCCGGCCTCCAGAGGCCCCCGCCAGGTCCCGGGACCTTCGGAAGACGACTCGCGATAACCATGACCTTGGGGAAAGGGTCGGGTTTTCCCAGAACCTGTGTTGAGAACCTCGAGATCTCCGAGATATCGCATGTCTGGGCCTGGAGCGAGGAGGGAGAATCGAGGAGGGAAGGAGATGGGATGGAAGCGGAGGCAGGAAAAAGGGGGTGAGAGGGTACCCACCGGTCGTTGAAACTAGGGATGTCTGCATTCCCATATCCCAGTTATGTTTAGGTGCCTTCCTACTTCGATCGACTAGCGTTTTTCCCTCTCTCCTCCTCTTGAGGGGGCGGGCGGAGCTCCAAAATACTTTCATCGTCTTCCTGTTTTCATGCTTCTGCCCACTTCTGCCGATCGATGTGTACGGAGAGAGGAGGCAGGATGATGATCGTGGGTTGCCAGAGGTGGTCCTGGGCCAAGGTGTCCCCAGCTTTTCGCGCCCGACTTTGAGCCCATGGGGCACACCCGAGGAGAAGGGATGGGAACGAGGGGCTCCAGCGCCGATCCGAGGAAGCCGCGCGGACCTCTGAATTTCTACATGTATGTCATTCACTGTTCCCAAACGGGAGGGATGATAAGGAACAAAGACTGAGGAGGTAGAGGGGCTCCAACACCCCCCTATAACTGTGCACTCTGTCAGCGACCCTCCAGAGGCGCTGCACGACTACAACGAACGCGTCGCCTTCCAGTACAAGGTTCGGAAGAGGGAGTAGGATGACGAAGAGGACTTATTATCAAGGAGGAAGAGGAGGAGCAGGAGAGGAGCGGCAGTCGCACACCCGAGCAATCGTTTTGTTTTGCTTTCCCGGCAGGGTTTGGCAATGCTCTTTTCGGGCTCAACCCCGTGGTTTCGAATACGCAACGGATGAAGGCAGGAAGAGTTCGGCCTCTTCGAGGCCCCTCCGTGGCCGCAGGGCCCAAAAGGAACCTTCGGGGTGAAGAGCGAGCTTCGGGAAAGTCCCCGTGCCCAGGACTCGTTGCCCTGAGGAGCCCGAGGCTTCTCCCATACACCAGAAACTTGGGCCTACCAGGGACCCTGGGAGCGTGAATTACCTACCCCGCTTTCGCTTCCAGACAAAACCAAGTCATACCACGCGCCTCCTGGTCAAGCGACCTGACTGGTGCGGGCCGTAGCCTGGTATCGTTTGGTATCGTTTGGAAGCGAGGGTGGTCAAAAGCGAGGTAGGTTCGTTTGCCTCCTAGAAGAAGAAGGAAAAAACACTGGCGCTCCGCGCGGAGTTGTTGGATTCGCGCCGGACCTCCCTGGCGCGGAGCGCCAGGGGGGCGCCCGAGGCGCCGCTGGGAGGGCCCAGGCGCGGATCCAAGAAGTCCGCGTGGAGCTCCAAAAGTTGATGCTTATGTTTCGTTTCCTTCGTCGGGAGAAAAAAAGCACACCTCCGAGCGATGCCAAGACACCCTTGGGAAGGAGGAGGAGGAGGAGGAGGAGGAGGAGGAGGAGGAGGAGGAGGAGGAGGGAGGAGGGAGGAGGGAGGAGCGAGGAGCGAGGAGGGAGGGCCCGCCCTTTGGGGCACCCCATGGGCTGCGCTAGGCTCTCTCTCCCTCGGCGCTGGGGGCCCCTCGAAGCACCCAGCGCCCCACCAGATGGCCCAAGCGTGAAATCGGGCCTGTCCCTCTGCAGGAGGAATAATCAAAAATAGTCAAAAGATCGACGGGGGGCGATTTTACTACTACTTGTAAGTATTTGTTGGTGTATTTTTGCGTATGTTTTAATTTGTCTGCCAAAATCCGCCTGTAGGGGGACAGGCCCGACCTCACCCAAGAGGTCGATTGCCTCAGGACCGCCCAAGAAGTTCAATCGGCGTTCCAGGAAGGGCCCAAGAGGACCTCCAAGGGGCCCCCCCCGGAGGCAGAATTCATGGGTTCCCATAAGATTGTCAAAGGGTTTTAGCGCTCTCGTTTTTTTCCATCATCCGACCACCCGAGACGGCTGAAGAGGCCGCCAAGTTTGTACCTGTGCAACCAAAGAGGACCCCAAGAGGACCCAAGACAGCCGAATGCCGAGCCAAGACGGCCGAGAAGGCCCCCAAGCCGGTTCAAAACACCCCGCAGATGCCCCAAGCGGAGCCCAAGAACGGGTTCCGGAAGCTTTCCCCCGCAAGGCGACCTTCGAGGAGGCTCCGGACATGCTCCGAAGAAGGCTTCAAGAAACTCATAGTAACCCTCAATACACCCCCAGATGCCTGCAGAGCCCCCCAAAAAAACTTCAAGACTGCCGCTCTGGGCCGTTTAAGGCTCTTGTGGAGGTGGGGAGGACAGCAACGGGGGGGAGAGAGTAAGTAGTCGACGCGACGAGCCCTTTGTGGCCATCTCATACTCCTGTCTTGTTTCGCTGACGAACTCTGTCTATGAGCTTCTGGGTGTGAGTGCGGGCCCGCGTGCACGACAGGCGCGGCAATGACGACGGCGGCAGCGACGACTTCAGTGATGTTTTCGTCCTCGAGGGAAGTACACTTGGGAGGGCGAAAGGTCGTTCCTCTTGCTGTTCTCCCCGCGGCATCTCATGCAAGCGCGCGTGGCGTGGCTACGCCCGCTAGCTTGCGTGCTATTCCCGCTGCCTGCTGGCATTTAGGGGTGCCCAAACGCCACGCCGGCGATGTCGCGGTATGAATTGGAGCGTGGGCCTTACTGCGAGTGAATATGAGTGTGGGTGAGCAGAGAGTGAGCCACTCGGAGTGTGAGCTAACCCGGGAACGATCGAACCTGAGTGTGGGCAAGTCTTGTTGGATATAATTCGTGTGAGTACGAGAGTATATGAGTATGAGCGAATCTGAATGCGAACGAGTCGATGTGCGAGTGGGTCTGAGTGCGACTGAGTCTGAACGCGAGTGGGTCTGAGTCATAGAATGATGAATACACATATGAGAACGAGCGAGCCTGGGTGCGAGGTAGTCTGCGTGCGACTGAGTCTGAGGGCTGGTGCGTCTTTGCGCGAGTGAATATGAGTGTGAGTTGGTCTGGGCGTGGGTGCGTCTGACTTCGAGCGAGTTTGATTACGGGAAACTAGGTCCGTACGGGTCCGAGTATGATCGGATCTGCGTATGAGCGGATCGGAATGTCATGGGCGATTGTGAGTGAGTCGGAAGACGAAAGAGTGAGTCGACAGCAGGGGGTCAGCAATGGGTGCTGAATGGCCCATCGGTGGCTTATGGACCGCCCACTCAAATGCTCAAGTATAGTTGGCATTCGCTAAGCGTTGGAATATTAAGACGAGAAAGCGACGCTCGAGTTTTGTCCGCTGGCGACAACGCGTCTCTTAGCCATCGTTGGCCGCCTTGATACGTCGCGAGCCATCGCCCGGGACGCATTGAAAGTCTGGCACGCCCAGAATGTGTGAATTCACATGTCGCGTTTTCCCAACATGTGCATTCACATGAGGTGTCCCCCCAAAGTGTGAATTTAAATTTGCAGGTGACCTATGTGAACGCATATGTTGCGATTCGCAGCGGATGGATTCCACCATGCGCGTGCCATCGACAAATGGGCTATGCGTTATCGCCAGCAGACAGAGCTCGAACATCGCATCTCCGCCCCAATATGCCTTGGCGCAGTGGATGCCAGATCGTTGGGGCGAGCAATGCACGGGCCATTCAAGGTCCATTGAAAACAAATTGTTGCGGACATGTATTTTTGTCTTTCAAGTGCTGATTAATAAATCAAATGCGAATGAACGCGTCTGGGCGGGGATAAAATAGGAAAAGGTGCACGCGAGCGAGTGAGTGAGTGAGCGAGTGAAGACCACACAAGTCAAACAACATGTTTCGGGATGGGGCAGAAAGAAGCAAACCTCCTGACGCATCCCCTCAATCTGACCGCGAATCCTGAAGTGTCGGAACCCTTGGCGGCTCCGTCTCGGGGTGCACAAGTGCCGCGATCATTGTCCACAAAAAGGAAAAACGTTTGGGACGGGGGGGCAGAGCGACGCCAACCCCTTGAAACACCTCCCCGAATCCTGCCACGCGCGTTGCATCGTGGCACCATGAACTGTTCGAGGCACCCACGGAACCCATTTATTCGCGCGCAGTCCCAGGCTGAATCGGCCCCCCTGGGCCCAAGAGCGCTGCGTAAACGCCTCCGTAGCCATTGCGGCTTAAGTTAGGCAAGATGCATCAAGCGCTGTGCAGTGCAGCGCACATGCGCGATAAGCTGAGCCCAGGGTATGCGAAGCTACCTGTCACCACTCTAGGCTTTGACGCTGGGGAATGCCGCAGATGAGGAACTGCTCAGGCGCGCCGGTCATGGCGCTGCAGCGGAAGAAGCCGCCACTCGCAGTGGCATGGTAGACCTCCAGTACTTTATGGACCAACGCGCCGCGTCGGAAAACGAGCTCCATGCCTGCGCGGCTGGGGCGCGGCGCAAGTGTGCTAGCCAGCTGGCCAATAGTGGATGCAGCTAGAAGGGGGGGTCGCTGCCGTGCCCCAGTGGGAACGCCTGTTATTGCACAGGGCACGGTGGTTTGAACGTGACAGCTACAGTCGAGTATCGCGGGGATATCGCCCAGACAGTCTTAATCTCAGTCCCAGATGTTGCAGTCGACATGCCAGGAATCGCGACGTTCATGGGGGGGGGGGGCAACAAAGACGCCCCTGTAATGTCGATGTATGCGCCAGAAGAATACCGCGAACAGCGAACCCTGTGATGCTGAAGATGTGTTTCGTGGAGGACTGATAATGTTACTGAGCAGTGCCCTCGCGACAATGAGCGCGTGGAGTCCGCGGGGGACAGCGCCGCGTCGCACAAATGCGCGAAGAATACGTTCGCAGTTTCAGCGCAAAGCTCAGACGTTCATGGGCATGGCCCTCGATCCCGTCAGCGAGGCACCTGTGGGTCACACCCTGGCATTCGAGATACCTTCCGAGACGGAGATCGCTCGGGGGGGCCGTGAAGAGATGTTCGAGGTTCTCAAATCGCAGGAGATGCCGGCTTCCTCGAGAGACGCGTAGAGGCGCAGTTACGCAACACATTTCCTGCCAGGGGGATGGATGGCGCGCTCGCGCAGAAATCAAGCAGGCGGCGCAGGCGGCGCAGGGCGAGGTGTACAGGTGAACAGATTGGGCCCATGGCATGGGGTGCCGCCGCCTTGGGCTCGGCTTTTTGATCATCGCGTTTACTTTCACAGGCTGCTTCGCGGCATCGCCGTTCTGGGTGTTTGCAGGGGGGCGCAAATGGTTAAAAATGGTGCTTGCTCATGTTGGGCGAACGATGATACTGGGCAGACCGCCTGCGCGTTGCGGCGAGGGTAGCGAGGATTGCGAGGGTGTTGTAGCGGCCGCCAATTTCTGCTCCACTTGCAGTTGGCGGGACAGCCAGCGATCATCTTGCTGCGAGTAAAAATTTTTCCTGGCGAAGGACCCAACCATATGTAATTGTGAATACCGCAATTGTGAATATCTTCTCCGGTGGCGCTCCCCATGGGGCCACGAAGCGTGTGAAGGGTGTGCCGAAATGGGCGCGCCGGACGCGTGCGGGCAGACCCACTGGGACCTTTTTTTTTTAGTGTGGCCAAGCTCGCGCGGCGCGAGCTCAGGTTCAAGCAGCTGCCAAGGGGCCAGCTGTCAGGCGGCAGGCGAAAGCCTCGGGAGCCGAGCAGCAAAGGAGCGAGCTAGCCAAAAGGGCCAGCCCGCCGCTGCCGAGCCAGACCCGTTAGCCTGCCTCCGCCATCGGGCGCGCCAGCTTCGGCGGCAGCCCTTGCTTGATATTCGCAGCCTTCTCGAGGCGGTGCTGCAGGCCTCGAGCGGTCACGGGCAGCATGCACTCGGCGGACAAGCCCCTGTGCTTGCCGCCTATCACACGGGCATAGCAGTGGCAGCGCGTGCACACTCGATACCCATGTACAGTGCACACAGCGTGCCCGCCGCCGTCAACCCCTGGAACCCCTGTGCCTGCAGACGCAGAGGCCGAGGCTACGAGGGGCCCAGAGGGTCCAGGCGGGCCGGCAGAAGCAGTCGGGCCGCTGCTGTGCCGCGCGCTGACCGCGGGCACGGCAGAAGGCGCGGGAGCGGCCTCAACAGCAGGCGAAGCGGCAACCGAAGGGCAAGCGGCATCGCCAACGGTGGGTGCCCCGCCAGCTCGGCCAGCCTCACTCACGGCCCCGCTCGCACAGGAGCCAGACGCTGAAGCCAGCAGGTAATCGACCTTCCCCTGGAACGTCTTGAGAATCTTGACCCTGGGCTCCCCGCTGCAGCCGATGGAGCCTCGGATCTCTTCCTCAGGGCTGCGGGCTCTGGACCTGCGTCCCCTTGGGAGCGGCGGTGCGTTCTGCGCGCCAGCCTCGCGCGCCGCAAGCGCTGCAAAGGCTGCGGCTGCTGTGGTCGCCGTCGGCATTGCAGCTCGAGCAGGCCCCATGCTCGCTGCGCCGCCAGAGTGAAGGGGCGCGCGCGGCCTGGCCACGCACGGCTTGGCCCAGAAGTGGGCCTTGATGTTGGCGCTATAGGCGGTCTTCAGGCAACGCAGGCAGTGGATGCCGCCGTTGGGGACCTCGACGACTTCATGGCCCGCGAGGTGGAGAAGGATCTTGCCATCCCGCCTGGCCGCCGCCTCGTCGGATACATCCGCACGGGCATCTGCAGCCTGGCCCCCGGCAACTGCGACCCAGACAACGGCCGCGTACAGCATGGCCTGCCTCGCGCGAATCGCCTGCCTGATGTCGTCGGTGGCCCCCGTGTGGCTGGCGATGAACTTGGCACACCGATATGCTTCTATGTTGCCGCGCCCCGCTCTGGCTGTGACCAGCCCTTCTCGCACGTGCTGCACCGAGGCGTGGGCCTTGACCTTGACTACGCGCAAGCCACCTTCGCCAAACCCTCCGAAGTCCTGAATCGCGTGCCAAACGCGGACCCAGAGCTCGGCCCATGCTGACTTGCTGCTCTTGGTGACATTCGGCCCGCGAGCGCTGACCCCGCCCACCACAAATGCCGCATCAATATGAGCCGTCACTGGTGGTAGACTGAATTTGAGAAGCAGGAGGAGCGCCAGCAACTCGCCCCCGTCGATGGACTGCAGCGGCCCCGCCAGCGGTGAGGCTGAGCACGCGTGGCTGAACCTGGCCCAGGGTCCACGTTGTCACCCCCTGGTGGAAGGGCCACCACCGCACAACCAGCACAGGCAATCTGGGCCCCCCCGTCGATGAAGGCGCCGTCGGCGCACAGGTCAGGCACAGCAAACGGCATGCCCTCCTCGTTGCCTTTGATCCACTGCGCGTGCGCAAGGGGGTCGTCACCAGGCGGTACCCTCCCTGCGCGAGGCTCGGGTAGCCACAGCCGCTCAAACAGCGTTTTGATCGTGGTGGGGCCCTCCATGCCCTTGAAACGCTCCAGCTCTAAAGGTAGCGAGAGGTTGGGCCATGCATCCGGGCGCTCCATGTGTCGATGCCACAACGTGCCCAGCTTGTCGGGGCACAGGTAGCAAACCGAGTACGAGCTGAGGCCTGCCGCACAGCGCCTCTCATTCAGCCACTGACCGTCGACCAGGCACGATCTGGCGCACCCAGCCTCGCTAGGGGTCAACGTCCTCCAGCTCCGCGCCACCTTGGTTGACCCGCGGTCCGTGTTGATCCAACGTCGGACCTGTGGCAAGAAGACTCCCCTGGCTTCGAAGATGCCGTAGTGCGTGGACTTCGCTAGCTGTGCCAGCTGCCCGTGCTCGACGGACTTGGTGACAATCTGCCTCACCGCCCACAGCGAGTGCACAGCCAAGTTGAGCTTCTCGCCAGCCTCGGAGACCCACTCGGTGAAGGTGGAAAGCGTGAAGCCGACCTTCTGCAGCGACTTGACCGCAGCACCGATCGGCCCGCGCACGTCAGACCAGTTCTTGGCCACCTTCACGTTCCACTCGAAGGTAGACCTGAGCATTGAAGTCGGGATCCACTGCTCCCAAACTGCCCGAGTCAACATCATCACGGGCCCAAGCGCGGCGGCGAAAATGGGGTCCAAGGTCTTGGCCCCCGAGAGCATCAGCACTGCAGTGGCGCTCTTACCTGCTGGCCGAGCTTCTACGGCTCTGACCGTGATGGACCTCATGTTGGACAGCTCGCTCTCGTTGGGGCCTGTGCAGTTGACGCCGTAGAGGGCCGATGGGGCGCAAACCAGTGCAGGCAACCTTGGCCGCCACTGTGCGCCCTTTCCTCAGCCCGAGAAAACTGCGCACCTTGCCCATGCGCAACTCGACAGTGGCGAACCGCTGTTGCCGAATCGCCCTCGCTGCGCGTCGCCCGTCAGCATGATCGATGCCTGGGTTCCGCGCGTGGCGGGCGCCTTGCACGCCTGCAACCTTGCGCAGCCTCCTGGAGATGTTGCAGCGGACCCCAGCGGAGTTGCCCAGGACCCTGGACTTTTTGACGGCGATCTTGAGTTTCACTTGCTTTGAGTGCTGCACGAGGTTCCGCGTGGCACCAACCAGGTCGTCCTGCACTCTCTCAGTGCTGCCCCAGCGCTGCAGCACTAGGTCGTCCACTACGATCGCTGGCGCGACAGCCCCGAACTTCGCGACCATCTCGTCCAAAGGTTGCAGCAGCATGAGCTTCATGAAGCCCGTGGCAAACGCATCCCCAGCGAGCACCGTCTGGTAGACCTGCAGCTCCTGCGAGCAGCACCCATCTAAGTGCAGGGCCCTCGGCGCGCGGTACAGCGAAATCTGCAGCTTGGCCAGCCACAGCGGGAATCCGTACTTGCTTGGTGGCCGCTTGCACCAGGCCCTGGTGATAGATTTGCTCAAACGCTTTCCACAGGTCGAGCAGGATGCTGGCAGAGGCCCAGTCTTGGTCGGGATGTAGCTCCGCCATCACCGCGACCCACTCGGACCTCGTCTGCTGCTGCCACACCGCTCTGTCGCAAGAGCGACCCGCACACGCCCACCAGTACGGCCTGTCAATGTCCATCTCCCACTTCTGCAGGAGGGGCCGCCTGAGCCTCTCATGCGCTCGTATCATCGCAGCAAGTAGGGCAATGGGACGAAGGCCTCCGTCGGCCTTGGGAATGAAGGCCATTGTTGCGATGAAAGAGCTGGGCCAGTCGGCCTTCGCCTCGATGGCCATGATGAGATCAATGAGCGCCTCGATGCCTTGGTCGTCCATGAGATTGAACTCACTGGGCCGCAGGCTGTCAAATTTGGGCCCCGACTGAGGCCTGAAGGACGAGATCACCTTCCGCAGCTCAGCGACTGACGGCCTGTCTGGGCGCTCCCCGAGATCTTCTGGCCACGCAATGCGGTGCCGCGCAGGCTCCTGCTCGCGCGATGCCACTACATCCCAGTAGCCCGGCCACTCGTCCACTAGCATCTGCAGGCTCTGCTGGATGGTGGACGGTGGCTCGCCGTCTGGCTTGGCGGGCTTCGCGTTCCAGGCCTGCGCCATCTTGGTGACCGCGTGGATGCCGCCTGTGCCCGTGGCCACGGAGTGCAGAACCCACTCGTTGTAGTTCTGCGATGCCTGGTCCATGTCAGCCTTGACCATCTTCTCCGACCAGTTGAAGCAGGCTGCACTGAGAACGTCAAGCTGCGAGAGGGAGAAGCTGCTGGCCCCCGTAGCTATCACGTGAATGGCGCGCTGCATCTCGCTAAGCTCGGACGGGGGCCTGCTGGCCAGCTTGCGCAGGGCACGGAGTGCTCCCAGCCTCGTGAGCGGGCGCTCGAACTGCGCAGCATCCCTGAGGCAGGTGGCGATCGCCCTGCACCACGTCGATGCACGCCTGACCCTCGGTAGCCTCGGCGGCGACGGCGCCGTAGCCGAAGTGCTTGCTAGCCAGGGTCGCTGCCCTCGGCCTGCGTACCTGTCGTGCTCGTGGTGGAGCCCGCAAGCGTCGATCATGTTGACCTCCGCCTGGCCGGTGAAGATGCGCCACATGCGGTCCAAGTCACTGGTGTTGGCGATCTTCTCACGCACCTCCTCCCAGGCAGGTGTGTGGTCTTGCGAGCAGCACGCTAGCGGCGTGGCCAGCGGGAGCTGCTTCGCTGCGCGCATGACCGCGATGTCCTGGTGTCTGCTGGGCCCGAGCAGCTCGAGCGCGACAGTGTAGTGCGGGCTGAGGTCGAGCCCGTGGATGACGCTGGCCTCGGCCCCCCGAAAGCTTCTGGAGACCACAAAGTAGTCGATGACCCTGCCAGCTGGCCTGCATGTGGCCTCGGAGGGCGCTGCCACCACCGCCTGCGCGGCCTGGAGCCAGCCCGACTCCGCCAAGACCGACGGCTCCATGTTGAAGTCCCTTCCGACAGCGAAGGGCCTGTTGGCCGCCTGGAGCGCCCTGAGCACCACGTACAGCGTGTCCGCGTTGCTCTTGCTGAGGCCGACATTGACCTCCAAGTAGATGTTGACCCACGCAATGCCGCCTCTACAGGCGCCGTTGAAGTGGGAGATGATGGCTCGCCCTGGCACGAGCACAGCTGGCCTGCCAAGCAGGTCGAAGGGCCCGAGCCCGAGATGCTGGGGCGCCATCTGCACGAGGCCTCCAGTACCCTGGGAGCCTGGGCCAGCGTTGATCGCTGGCGCTGCCTCCGAGACCTATCCGAGCCTACAGAGCTGACCTTGTGCATCATGAGTGCGCCGCGAATCCACATGCGTCTCCTGGACGGCCGCGAAGTCGCAGTACCTGACAGTGGAGGTGCCCAGCAGGTTGGCGAACCGAGACCAGGCGTTGCAGTTGACGGTGAGCCCGACCCACCACCTGCCTTGCTCGTCCGACCCGCGGGGTAGGGTCGACGACCGACTGCCGCCGATCGCCAAGCTGCTACCCTCCCGTGGTGCGTGACCGCTTGGCAGCCCTGAGGGTGTCGAGCGCATCCTGGAGCCGCTTCCTATCGTTGTCGTCTGCCGCACTGCCGGGGAGCCCTCCTGGATCGTCGCAGCCCAAACTTGTCGAAGGGGTCCCCTTCTGCCTGGGCCATAGGGGTGTCCTCTTGATCGGCCCCGCCAGCCACGCCTGCCCCTGCTCCTCCAGCTCCGCATGCGGCATGGCCGCCGCGCTGCTGTTCAGGCCCAGGGGGAGGGACTGCGGCTGCGGCCGAGGTGGCCATCTCGCCCAAGAGCGTGGCGAGGCCGTCCACGACTTCCGCCCCAGACTTGCCCTCGGTGTCGATAGTGGCGACCTTCTCTTTGAGCGTGCGGATGGTCTCTTCCACTGTGGTGGCCGAGTAGAGCTTGGCCGCCTGCTTCTTCGCCTCCTCGAGCTCCGCCTTGCGGTCAGCGAGGGCCTTCTCCGCGTCCGCGAGCGCCTCCAAAGCCTTGCGTGAGCTCTCCAGGAGACGTTCACGCTTAGCTGCTGCGTCGGCGACGGCGAGGGAGGCTTGGTCGACTGCCAAGGGAGCTGCCGCGCCTCTGTGCCCAAGACCCCAGCGGCTGCCTTTCGGCGTGCCAGCTCGACCTTTTCACGACTGCTGCGGGAGAGGACGTCCTTGACGAGGTTGTACGACTCCAGAGCCATGGCGGCGTAGGCGGCGATCTTCTCGGGACCCAGGGCGACGGTGGTGCTGGCATTGGGCCCTCCACCGTTAGGTCCGAGCCCTTTGCCTCCACGCCCTGTGCCGCTGCCCTTGGGACCTCTGTGCCACGGAGCTCCTTCACTTCCGCCTCCGACAGCCCACTTGTGGCTTGATGTCGGCGTCGTTCGCAGCGGGCACGTTGCGGTCCGAATGCTTGCCCTTGCAGCCAGCCCTGATACAGAGTGAGAGGTGCTGCGGGGCATAGCCACCGCACCGCACGCACTGCCAGCACTTCGCCATGAGAGCACGACAGCCCAGGCAATCAGGCCGAGGAAGAAGATTGCGCACCCTCGGGCAGACGAAGCAGGGGACGACCAGGGGCGGACCTGGCACCGCAAGAGGTTGGATTGCAAGCTCGGGGAACAGAGCTATCCCGTTTGCGCCTGGAGGTTTGCAGCCCCCCAAGCATTGGGTCTTGAGCCAAAATGGTTACGGAGACACCCACTGGGACCTTCGGTGGAGCTCCCTATGGGGCCACGAAACGTGCGAGGGGTGTGCCGAAATTGGTGTGCGGGACGCATGCGGGCACACCCGCTGGGACCTTCGGTGGAGCCCCCTACGGGGCCGCGAGACGTGCGAGGGGTGTGCCGAAATGGGTGTGCGGGACGCATGCGGGCACACCCACTGGGGCCTTCGGTGGAGCTCCCTATGGGACCACGAAGCGTGTGAAGGGGTCACGAAACGCGCGAGAGGTATGCCGGAATGGGCGTGCGGGACGCATGCGGGCACACCCACTGGGGCCTTCGGTGGAGCTCCCTATGGGGCCACGAAGCGCGCGAGGAGCATGCCGAAATGGGTGTGGGTGACGCATGCGGGCACACCCACTTCGACCTTCGGCGGAGCTCCTTGTGGGGCCACGAAACGCGTGAGGGGTGTGCCGACATGGGTGTGCGGGACGCATGCGGGCGGCAGCACTGGGGCCTTCGGTGGAGCTCCCTATGGGGCCACGAAGCGCGTGAGGGGCGTGCCGAAATGATTGCGCGGGACGCATGCGGGCACGCCCACCGGGACCTTCGGTGGAGCTCACTTTTGGGCCACGAAGCGTGTGAGGGGTGTGCCGAATTGGGTGTGCGTGATGCATGCTGGCCGCAGCGCTGGGGCCTTCGGCGGAGCTCCCTCTAGGGCCACCAGACGTGTGAGGGGTGTGCCGAATTGGGTGTGCGTGACGCATGCGGGCGGCAGCGCTGGGGCCTTCGGCGGAGAAACGTGTGAGGGGTGTGCCGAATTGGGTGTGCGTGACGCATGCGGGCGGCAGCGCTGGGGCCTTCGGCGGAGCTCCCTATGGGGCCACCAGACGTGTGAGGGGTGTGCCGAATTGGGTGTGCGGGACGCATGCGGGCGGCAGCACTGGGGCCTTCGGCGAAGCTCCCTATGGGGCCACGAAACGTGTGAGGGGTGTGCCGAATTGGGCGTGCGGGACGCATGCGGGCGGCAGCACTGGGGCCTTCGGCGGAGCTCCCTATGGGGCCACGAAACGTGTGAGGGGTGTGCCGAGTTGGGTGTGCGTGACGCACGCGGGCGGCAGCACTGGGGCCTTCGGCTGAGCTCCCTATGGGGCCACGAAGCGTGTGAGGGGTGTGCCGAATTGGGTGTGCGGACGCATGCGGGCGGCAACACTGGGGCCTTCGGCGGAGCTCCTATGTGGCCACGAAGCGTGTGAGGGGTGTGCCGAATTGGGTGAGCGGGACGCGTGCGGGCGGCAGCACTGGGGCCTTGGGCCTATGGGGCCACGAAGCGTGTGAGGGGTGTGCCGAATTGGGTGCGCGGGACGCATGCGGGCGGCAGCAATGGGGCCTTCGGCGGAGCTCCCTATGGGGCAACGAAGCGTGTGAGGGGTGTGCCGAATTGGGTGTGGGTGGCGCATGCGGGCGGCAGCACTGGGGCCTTCGGCGGAGCTCCTATGGGGTTTACGAAGCGTGTGAGGGGTGTGCCGAATTGGGTGTGCGTGACGCATGCGGGCGGCAGCCCTGGGGCCTTCGGCGGAGCTCCCTATGGGGCCACCAGGCGTGTGAGGGGTGTGCCGAATTGGGCGTGGGCGACGCATGCGGGCGGCAGCAATGGGGCCTTCGGCGGAGCTCCATTGGGGCCACGAGACGCGTGAGGGGCGTGCCGAAGTCGCGACCCAGGGCGGCATTGCAGCGCCCGTTGCGCAGGCAGCCTCGGTGGAGCATCTCGCGGGCCTCTACGGCGAGTTCGAGCTGCCTGCCGCCTACACGGAGAGGAGCAGCGCCTGCGAAGCATCCCTGGTAGAGATGCTCGCTCAGGCACCTGGCTGCGCTGGCGGCGGTCGGGCGCGGTCCTACAGCCAGCCGCTCGCGGCCTGGCCCCAGTCGACGAGAGCCGTCTCCACCTGCGACGTCGTCTCGGAGGCCGATTCCATCGCGTTGCAGGGTTGGAGGCAGAGTATGCCGAATCCCGAGTCGGTGGCAGCGGAGCTGCGGGACGCGCTGGGCATCGACCGCCCGCGCGTGGACCCCGAGCTGCGCTTCCAGCCAAACTCCCGCGCTCAGTTTTCGAAGCAGCTGGAGGCCCGAGACATAATCACGTGGCGGGCCGCCAGCCCTCAGTTTTCTCACTCGATCAGTTTATTCTTCGTGGGGACCCAATCGCATGCTCAGGCTCGCGTTCGACATTCGGCTGGCCAGCAGCAGTTTCGCGGCGCCCCCGGCCACCAAGCTCCCCGCGCCCAGCGCGTGGGCTAGCGTCGGCTGCGGCGACAGTTTCGTGTTTGCTCAGTGAGACATCCAGCGCGCCTTCTATCACTCACGCTTGCCTGCAGGGACAGGGATGGAGTCGCCGTTCTCGCTGCCTGCGATCTCCAACAGACACAACGGTTTCAAATCGATCAACGGGCTTCCCATCGGTATTAACGATTTCGCACAACGTTCGGTCACAGTTGATCCTATAAGGTGGAGTTGGGCGTTGCACTTCTGTCAGAGCGCCCTCGTCAGAGCTTTATCCGAAGTTGGTTTCGAGAGCAGCGCAACGAATGTTGATGGGGGCAGCCAGCGTCCGCTGGTCGATCACAATGATGCCACATCTGCCGGATAGGTTGACAACGTCTGCGTCGTCTGAAAGAATCCAGAGGTTTCCACTTCTCTGGCTCGTGCCGTTGCCGACCTTCTCACCTCCAGGGGTCTACATGTCTTGGGGTTCTCGGAGGCCGTGAGCAAGGGGGTCTTCACGGGGCTGCAGATCGACGGGCTGTCTGGGATCATCCGTTTTCGTCCCGATTGTCTCGCCCGAACTCGCCATGCCGTTCTGGGTCTCTTGCGACGTGGGCGGGCCTCCGCGGGGGCCCTCAGCGCGCTGGTAGGCCATTGTACTTGGGGGGTGATCTTGAGACGGAACGTCCTGGCCATCTCCAATTCGGTCTATCGGTTCATCAACGTGGTCGGGGCTCAGCCGGCGCCTCTTTGGGCGTCTGTGGTCAGGGACTTGCGGGCCCCGGTGGCCCTGCTCCCGCCTGGAGTGCCTCTACCAGGTCCAGGTGGTCTTCACGGATCTGTGCCTCTGATGCGTCGCCGTGCGGAAAGGGGGTGCGAATCGAGAGGACATCCCCCCTGACTTGGTGTCAGAGGTCGGCCGCGTCGCCGAGAAGTCGAGGCGCCGCCAGGGCTCCAGCGCGCTTGCGAGGTCCCATGCCTTCGAGACCGTCGGCTCACATCGCGACGTCGCCGATCGTTGCCCGCATGCTGGCGCTTGCCGAGTCCACCCAAGCAGCCCTGCTCAGGCCTGTCAGAGCTTCTTGGAGGTTCCGGAGGCTGTCCTTTGTTCGACGGCTGGGAGATCATCCATTCGAGCAGGCGCTCTCGTTCAGCTTGCGACATCTTGCATTATGAAGCCGAGGCCCTGGGGTTCAGTGTCCACCACGCCTCCAGGACTCTAGGGGCCCACCATCGTCGCGTCGTTTGCCTCGTCGACAACTAGGCTCTAGCCCTCTCCGTCGGCAAGGGGCGTTCGGGCAGCCCGCGCCTCGCGCGCGCTCTGAGGCGCCTCTCTGGCATCGCTCTCGCATGCGGCTTGCGCGCGCTGGTGCGCCGGGCGCCCTCTGAACGGAAAGTCGCCGACAAGCCGTCGAGAGAAGGCTTCTTCGTCGGCCCGAGCTTCGAGCACTACATCCCGGAGCAGGTGTCGCGGCGACCGCGGCAGCCCAAGGGGCGCGGCCAAGGCCGCGAGGGCTCGGACGGCCCACCCGGGGCCCTCCACCCTCTCGCGCGGGGGCAACGAACTACCGCGCCTGCGCCCAGAAGCCCCTGAGCTGGCGCTTCTGGACCGCGAGGGGCTTCGAGAGCAGCGCCGAGCTCGACGCCGTCCTGGTCGCGCACTTCGCCCACCTGTTCCTGGGCGGCTACGACGGCGCGACGGGCCGCGCCACGCTGGCCGCGCTGAAGCACCACAACACCGCCTTGCTGATCGGGAACAGGCCGCTGCCGCGGGCTTTTCGGGCGCTTCAGGGGCGGGCGAAGCTCGCCCCGCTTAAGATGCGCCTGCCGCTCCCGCGCGTGGCCATGTTCGCGATAGCGGGCGCCCTCCTGCCCCAGGGCCGCCTCGCGGAGGCCACCTTCGCAAGGATCGCGTTCGCCGCGTGCCTCCGCCCGAGCGAGGCCTACCGCCTCGCCGCCGCCTCGCTGATCGCTCCACGGATCGGGTCGAAGGGGGGCCACCAGCGCTGGGCTCCCTGGTGAACGACGCCGCGAGCGGGAGGCCTGGCAAGACGGGGGTCACGGACGAGAGCGCGATCGTCGACGACCCCTTGCTGTGGCCGCTGCTCGACCCCCTTCGTCAGGGGCGACGACCCAAGGAAAGCATGTGGAGCTTCTCGCCCGAACAGGTCCGCCAGGCCTTCAAGCCTGCCCCGGCGACGCCGATTTCCACGGCGAGCAGGCGTCGCTGTATTCCCTGCGCCACGGAGGAGCGTCAGACGACCTCCTGTCGGGGCGTCGGACTCACAATGAGGTCAAGGACCGCGGCCGCTGGAGGACGGACCAGTCGTTGAACCGATGCGCCAAGCGAGCTCCGACGCAGCGCGTCGGTGGAGTTCGGGGACAGGGTCGAGGCGAACTTCTTGCAGCTGATGGAGGAGAAGGCGCGGGCGGGCATCTTCTCGCTGCAGCTGCCGCCGCTTCCCCCTGCGCCCGCGCTGCCAGCCGCCAGGTCGGCGCCCGCGCTGACCGACCAGTGGGGCTTCGTTTGAGACGGCTCTGGCGGCGGGCCCACTCATACGCGTCTGCCATGCCTTACCATGTGACTTTGTGCATCTGCACGCCGAGTCGCATTCGTCGAGCTTGCGAATATCGTGGGTTTGGAACTTTTGCTAGCAACCTTGCTCGCCATCGCTTGGGGGACGCTGGCGACTCGACGCTACTGGACGCGTTGCTGGGCTGGGTGCGCTCGTCGGCGGCCCCCGGCCTATGGGCTTCCGCGCCGGCTGCGACCTGGGGGTGAGGAACGGCCCGCTTGCGCCGACTGGATGGCCCTCTGGAGGGGGCGAGAATCTCTGAGCCTGCTAGGCGTGCCACCCGAGTTGCTAACGCGCTCACCGCCGCCACCTTTTGGTTGATCTCGAAATGCATGTGTCGCAGGCCGTGATTTCTGCGCGCTCGGAAGCTTACCTGATCTGGAGACATTCCCTCCTTTCCCTTCTCCTTTCCCCCATCCTCCTCCTGCCCTCTCGACCCCTGCATGTTCTCAGGCCGCGTTGGACAGAGAATGTTCTGGGTCGGTTGGGGCGTTCGTGACCTCGACGGCCTCTCGCGTCGTTGCCTCTGCCCCCCAGACCTGCGTGACCGCGCTGGCCGTCGTCACTTAGGAGGGAGGCCTCGGTCGTCCTGCGCTGGATGCCGCTGCTCGAGCGACCCGCGGTCTACCCCTTGAAGTAGCCACCGCAGGCGCGGACATGATAATGTCTGCCGCGCGGCAGTCACGCGCCGCCCGAGATAACAAGGTTTTTGGTCAATGAAGTTGCTCGGTTGTAGCCATGCGCGGAGACTAGCGTGCGGTGCCAAGTCTATGCTTCTCTTGCTGGCTGTGCACGCTCGAGTGCGCCCTCCGCCGCTATGCGCAAATATCGAAAAATATGGCCTCGAGAGATCCCACATGCCGCGACTTGCCGGCATTTGTGGTGCATGCGCGGCCGTATCTTTGTGTTCAAATTCTTCCCTGCCCCCCCCGCCCAATTTGAACAATAAATTTAATCGTTGCCGAGTCGTTGCTTCTCTTGTTGGCTGTGCATTATCGAGGCTGTCCTTCGCCGCTCTGCACAAAGATAGACAAATCTGACCCCGAGAGATCCTACGCCATCATCATCACCATCACCGTCATCATTACCAGCACCATCACCATTAGCATCATCACCATCATCGCCAGCTTCACCGTCACCATCATCAACATCATGACCATCATGATCATCACACCCATCTGCATCATCACACGCACCATACGCATCATCATTACCATCATCAGTACCGTCACCGTCACCACCATCACCACCACCACCACCACAGTTGTCAATACCAACCCCGTCACCATCTTCGTCACCATCATCAACACCACTAATATCGTCACAATTGCCATCGTCATCAGCATCATCAACATCACCATCATCATCGCCACAACATCCCCATCATCACCATCATAAGGGCCACCATATGCATCATCATCATCACCATCACCATCATCATCAGCATCGTCACCATCGCCACCATCATCATTTGCATCACCCTCAGCATCACCGTCAGCATTATCAGCATCGCCATCATCAGCATCACCATCGTCATCACCACCTTCATCGCCATCACTATTACCATCGACATCATCATCTTTACAGTTTCAGCATCATTAGCATCACCATCACCACCATCACCGCCATCACCAGCACTATCATCATTACAATCACCTCACGATCCTCATCTCCATCACCCTCGACATCGTCATAATCATCCTTGTCATCATCGTCCGCATCACCACCATCATCATCACCGCCACCATCGATCATCATCGTCATCATCACCATCATCATCATCATCATCACCATCATCATCATCAGCATCACCACAACCATCACCAACACCATCACCACCACCATCACCGGCGGCGACGAGCGCGTTTGTTTCCAAAGCCATAGCTCCATGACTTCAAAGCACAGGTCCTGTACCCCGCGGAACGCTACACTCCAACACGAGTACGATTTGCGCGCGCTTGAGGCGCGCTCCCTAGGAGGCAACAGAGGCGAAACCAGGGGCGGTTCCAATGTTAGCCAACTCTGATATCGGTTTCTGGACGGGACTTCCATTACATAATATAGAAAACCGGCCTTTCCCAGCGCCGCAAATCGTGGTACCAGTGTGTCCACGGTCCCCTCTTCGACCTGTTAATGCAGGTCTCCAATGGGCGCCAGATGGGCCATGCTGGCCTAAGATAGCCTTCGACGTGGCTCCAAGAGGTTCGATAAGAACCCAAGATGGCTTGGTGCCGCAGAAAGGAAATTTCATTGAACAGCGTGAAAATATTTGGGCCGTTTCCGACAGGCTAGATTGCCCAACAGGGTTCTCAAAGGGCCCCAGAAAAGCTCCAAGATGTCGCCAAGAGCCCCCCAGAGCACCACGAGAGGGCCTCGAGAACGCCCCAATGGGCCCTGAGCGGCCCCTCGAATCCGCAGCACGGCCCAACAAGGATTCCCACGTTTGCCCCCAAACGGCCCCGACAGGCCCCAGGAGCACCCCAAGGGAGCTTCAGACCTGTCTCGAGCGCCCCCGCACAGCCCTCGGTCCGGGGCTCCGCCCAGTGAGGAGCTGCCTCTGGGGCCGCTCTCCGCGGCTGGCCGGGATGCGACCACACCGCCAGGCTGCCAGGCAGCCCCAGCCATGCAGGCGGCGAGGTGCTGTTGCGTGGGGCTGCGGCGAGGGGTTAACAGCAGCTCCCCCCGGCGGGAGGTCTTTGGACTGCGGGTCTCACAGCCAGTTGATCTCTTCTGAGTCCCCTCGGCCCACAGGACTGTTTTCTGGGGTGGCGGAAGGGCCGAGTTGGTGTGTTCACCCCGCTGAGGCTCGTAATTTTCTGGGGAGTGCATACTTCGCCGTTCCAGAATGCTTTTCTCAGATCTTGCGGACGCCATTCCGCCGCGCGTTCGAGGGCAAGCGTCCGCGCAAATTCGCAGGCCACATTTTCCTCTATCACCTGACGACCGCACCTCATTGTCCCCGAGTGGCTCAGACAGACACCTCCCCAGCGGTTGTTTCCAGAGTCCAGAGGGCCCCAGAGTCGTTCATCAACCTCTCTCAGCTTGTCTGGTTCCCTTTGCAGCGAGTGCGATCAGTCAGGCTGGCCACGAAGGGCACGACCTCGTGGATCTCTCTCCTGTTGGATCTCGTGCCATCAAGTTGGGCTGGACCTCCGCCACCCCCTCTTTCCGGATGTCTGTCCTGATGATCCCCCCTCTGGTGTTACGTTCTTGATGCCGTCCTGATCCGAGCATGTTCTTTGGGTGGAGGGCAAAGGGTGAATCACACGAAGGATTGATTTTCGAGGTGCAATAGCCCGCATGGATTTCACCTTGAGCCCTCCACCCCAAGAAAGTGCTCATCTGATGCACCTCTATGGCCAGTTGCCCTGTCTGTCTGGGCCGTGCGCTCGCCCACTGCAGGGCAATGGTAGGAGAGGGGATAGGTCAACCCAGGCATCCGGCTGCTCCCACTTTTCCCATGCGTGGGCCCCGAGGTCTGGACCTCTTCTCGAGAGACGGCTCCCCGTCTGCAGCCGTCTTCCTGACGGCCCCAAAGGCCCGGCGAGGGCCCCGGGGAGACCGAAATGACGACCACAAGCCGCCCGCTCCAATATCTCTTGAAGCGTCTCGAAGAAGAAGAAGAAGAAACGCCATAAACATAAACTGTTTCGCAGGCCTAGAGACTGACACCAACACAAATATCGGCGGTGTTCCTCCACCGAGGGAAGAAAGATCCCGATCTCGGTGATGGTGGTAATATTCTGGCTTCCAAGGTGGCCGAAATATTACCACCAGCATCGAAATCCAGGATCATCTCCCCCTGTGGAGGCAGCCCCCTGTCTTGGTGTTGGTGCTCATTTCCAGGCCTTCAACTGTTGGCGCTCCGCGCGGATTTCTTGGATCCTCGCTGGGCCCCCCCTGGCGGCGCCTCCGGTGCCGCCCATGGCGCGCTCCGCGCGCCAGGGAGGGGGGCCCAGCGCAGATCCAGGAGATCCGCACGGAGCGCCAGAGGTTTGTGTTTGATGGCGTGTGTTCTTCTTTTGGGGTCGGATCTTTGGGGAGGGGGGGGCGCACCGACCCTCGCCCACTCCTCTCCGATGGGGGCCCGGTCGACCAGGGCGGTGCGGTCTCGCTGTCGCGGGGGCCTGCTGCCGGTCTGCCGGCAGCGTATCGCCGATTCCGGGTCGATGGTTCCTTCCCTGAGCCTGTCCAACCTGACGCACCGCCTCGTCTCTTCTCGGGGACGGCCAAGAGGGGGTTTTGGCTAGGGGGGGATCTCGAGGCCGGGGCCATGATAGTTCCCCAGATTTCATGGCGCCTCTTCGTATTTCGATGCGTCCCCTGCGTCCCCTGCCTCCCCGGGCCGCGCACATGCCGCCAGCCATGATGTGCGCCCCCTTCTCTTGGACCCCCCCTTCTGCGACGCCCCCGGTCTTCTGGCCCTCCTGTCTCGGTGCCGTTTGGGACGAGCTGGGCATCCTTAAGTCGGGCCTGTCCCTCTGCAGGAGGAACATTCAAAAATAGTCCAAAAATAGTCTGGGCACGATTTTTGGAGTAGTTATTTGTTTACCATTTGGGGACATGTTCGGGGTATTTTTTTATTGTTCGTCCAACATCCGCCTGTAGGGGACAGGCCCGACCTAAGGGCATCCCCGAAACGCTATCGGCGAGGCGCAGCCGCTGGAACGCACCCCGAGGGCGGAAAGCCGCCAGGAAGCTACGAAAACGCCTGACAAACTTCGGACCTCGAAACCGAGGAAGCTTCCCACCCTCGCTCGCCGCCGATCGTCTCCTCGGCTCTCACGTCTCGGTGCCGCCCATGCAGTGGAGGCCCATGCCAAGGAACACCCTGCTTGCCCCCAGGGTGCCCTGGGTTTCGATGGCTTCGCTATGGAAAGCGTGGCGTTCCCGCGCCAGAAATCAATGGCCGTCCTGGGGACTCAGGGTTGGGTTTCTTGTGGAAGGTTTCTTGTGAGCGTGCCCCTACTGTATCCCTGCCCTCCCCCCCCAGGCGGGCGTGCCCGACAGCCGCCTGGGCTCCCAGTGCGCCCTGCTGAAGGCCTGCCTCCCCCGGCTCCCGGGGGGGGTCAGCAGAGGGCACCGGGGTCGTTATCGGCGGCGAGGTTCGAGGCTGAGTAGGGTCGAGGGTCAGAGAGCGCCTTCCTCTGCAGGACCACCAACTAACACCGTCAAGGTGGGCAAGCGCCTCGCCGGTTGAGCCGACGAAGATGTGCAACATCCAACCATTCGTTAACGTCCAAAGTTTTGGCTTGACGCCGTGTGTGGTGCATCAGTTTCAGCTTGACTGAACAGGTTGGTTGCACCCCTTGACGTCTGTTTGGGGTCTTCTGCAGACCTGACCCCCCGGCCTCACGGAGGAGGAGGAGGAGGAGGAGGAGGAGGACTTCCTCCTCCTCCTCCTCCTCCTCCTCCTCCTCCTCCTCGAGGTTTCAGGTGTTCGAGGTTTTCCCGCGGCTTTGTCGAGTCTGAGGACGCGCCATGGGTGGCTGATAAAAAACGGGGAGGCAGCGACTGGTGCAGAACGGAGTTTCAGGTGTTTGAGGTTTTCCGGCGGCTTAGTCGATTCTCGGCGTCGGAGGACGCGCCATGGGGGGCCGATAAAAAATGGGGGGCAGCGAGGGACGCAGGAAAGAGGAACTTTAGGGCCCCGTCAAGGGGCCCTGTAGGGACCAGAAGGGCACCGTTCTGCCCCCCCCATGTATCGGCCTCGCTTTCCAGCCTCGAGCTGCGTTCCAGCAGCTGCGCCTCGCCGAGAGCTTTCGGGGGGTGACCAGAACGTCCCGACCGGCGGCCGGAAAGCCGAGCCATGACCCGAAAGCCACCAGGGTGCCAGCACCTTCGCCGATCAACCAGCCAGGCAACTCGATCGGCGGCGGGGGCAGAGCCCAGAATCCGTGGAACTCGTGGCGAAACCCGGACCCTACCCCGCCTCCCGTCGATTCAAGAGAATCGATGGTCGGTGGGGGCAGGGCCTGGATGTCGCCGCCCGGGTTGGGCACGGCCTCGAGCAGAGGGGCCGATGCTGAGTTCTGAGCCTGCCGGGAGGGCACGGGTCGCGGCCCGCCTCCTTCCTGGAGTCGGCGGCGAGCCTGGGGGGGAAACAGGAAGGAGAAGGCCTCCTCAAAAGGCTCGGAAGTCCCCCGGCCTTCTGAGAAGTGTTCTAGCACAAGAAACCTCTCAGATGGCGCGAAGGTTTCCGAGAAGGCCCGCCGCCTTCTGATAATCACCGAGCGCGTTCCACTACTCGCAAAGTGCTTACTCGCAAACGTCCGAGAAACACATGTCTGCTTCGATGGAATGTATCGTAGATCCCCCGCGGCGGCTCAAGGCCATTTGCGAGTAGTCACTTTGCGAGTAGTGGAACGCGCTCGTCTGGAGAAGGCCTTCTCCTTCTCGCTTCCCCCCCTCGCTCGCCGCCGACGGAGACGGGGCCCACCGCCCACGGCGCCCGATGTATCAAGATAGAGCCGAGGCCAGGGCGCTGCGCTCTGCAGCACCGTGCCCTGACCGAGGGCAAGACAGTCGCATCGGGCACCGCCCTCCCCTCAGGAGGGGAAACAACACAGACACAAGTCAACGTCGACCCCCAGGAAAATATGGGAAGTGGGGGGGGAGACGAGCATCAAAAAATATAAGGAAAGGGGGAATCCTGTCATTTGTGTGTATTCATTTGTGGGTCCTGTGCCCCTTGAAAGAAAGTCGCATCGGGCACCGCTCTCCCCTCCCTCCCATGGCCGACGAGCGGACGCAGGGCTCGTTTCGATTCCTCCGATGCGGTTCGATTCGATTTCGATGGCCTCCGCTGCCGATCCGATTCGACTTGGGATTCCGATGTGGGCTGAGATGTCTTGTTGGAGGCCTACTGGCCTGCCGATCTCTGCCGATTCGACTTCTCCCGACGTGGCTGCCGGTTTCCGCCGATCCGGTTCGTTTCGATTGCCGATCCGACTCATCGTGCCGATTCTGGGATCTGCCACCCTCCCCTCCCTCCCACAGCCGGGCGGAGGACGGCCGATGCATCCGGAGGGAGAGAGGACTCCCCTCTCCCTCCGGATGCCTCGGTCGTCGTCCGCTCGGTCCTGTACTTCCCAGGACTTCCCAGGGTCGTGAGCGGAGTGGCTTCCAGGACTGGTACTGGTCCAGGACTTCCAGGACTTCCAGGCTCCTCTGAGAGGAGGCAGTCCTGGACTTCCCACGGCCGTGAACAAGGTCGCGACGACGAGGGTTCGGCAAGCCGTCACGCTCCGCGCATATCCCCGCCAGCCCATTCAGAAGACCTGCCCATGAGAGCCGACGGGAAGAAGGACGGAGAGACACGCAGCGGGCAGCCAGAGTGAACAGAGAGATCTTTGGGAGCAAGGGGGGGGGCCTTGGGAGGGCCTCTTCGGGCCATCCTTGGGGCTCGCGTGGGGGCGAGGGAAGGAGGAGGAAGAGGAGGAGGAGGAGGACGACGACGACGACGATGATGACGATGACGACCACGACGACGAGGAAGAGGAGGGAACGGAAAATGAAGACGATGAGGGCAAGGACGAGGAAGAGGAGGAGTAGGAGGAGGAGGACAACGAAGACGAAGACAGAGCCCTCAACATCGCCCCTTGGAGCCCTCTTGGACTCTCTTGGAGGATCTTAGGGTCCACTTGGGGCTCTTCTGGGGGATCTTGGGGCCCTCTTGGGGCCCTCTTGGAGCCCCCATGTCCCTTGGGAGCCCTCGAGGCCTCTTTGGGCCATGTTGGAGGCCATCGATCAAAACGGGGGAGTCCTTTATGTTCCCCTCACGCCCCTCTGGGGCCATCAAAACCATCCCTTCACGCGAAAGTTGGCGCTCACGGGGCCGTCATGAGAGCCTCTTGGGCCCCCTTCGAGGCTCTCCTGGGCCAAATTTGGGGCCATCTTGAAGCCTCAACAGCGCACCTGAAGCGAACAGGCGAGAAGGCACAAATCATAGATAGTCCTCGGGTGTTTGAAGGAGTTTGGCTTCTCGGGGAAGCGTTGACGGGGTCTCCGAGAGCAACTGGAACCGTTGTGTGGCCCTCTCGGGACCTCCTGGAGGCACGTTGGAAGCTGTCTTGAATCATATTCGGGTGTCTTATAGGCCGTCTTGGACGCTCTAACCCCTCGCGGCCGGCCCCCCCCCCAAAAGAAAAACTCAGGGCGGTGAGGGGGAGGGTACTCCTTCATGAAAGGAAGATGGGGCTTTTGAAGAAGAAAGGCAACATCGGTAGACCACCTACGCCTGGATGGTCGGTGGGATGTTCGGCCTCACAGGACCCAGTGGCCTAGGGTTAGGTCGGACGTGTCCCCCTACAGGCGGAGTTTGGACGAATAAGAAGAAATGCCCACACAAGATTCAAACAACATTTGAAAATAGTCAAAAAATCCTGCCCAGGCAATTTTTTACTAGTTCTGAATATTCTTCCTGTAGAGGGACAGGCCCGACTTAAGCCTAGGGCAGTCAGATTTCGATTCGTTTCAGGGCAGGCCCAGACTTCCGACGGGACCGAGTTGTGACGACAAGCGCAGAGCATGTTGCAAGAGGGAAAAACATACAGACACAATTAATCGTCGATCCCCCAGATAATATGCGAAGTTTGGGAAGTGGGGAAGACAAAGTACCAGAACATCTAGGAACATATGGGGAATCTTGTTCTTTGTGTCCATTTGTTTGTGTGTCCCAGGGCCCCTTCAATGTTGTTCTGCAGAGGTGCCCCGACCTCTGGGTACTCGAGCATGTCGAGTCTTGTCTTGTTCGGGGGGTAATGATTGAGGGGAGGTGGATATCATGGCGGCGGCCATGATATCTCCCCAGATGTCATGGCGCCTCTTCTTGTTTCAATACGTCCCCGGCCCCGCCCCTGGGCCACGCACGTGCCGCCAGCCATGTTTGGCGCCCTCCCCTCTTGGACGCCCCCCTCTCGGCGGCCCCCGAAGTAGGCGGGGGAGGATCGAGGTCTTGGATGGTTCTGGCTATTTCTGGGCATGCGTGAACCCCTAGAGGCACCCCGGAAACCTGGGGTGAATGGGGTATCGGGAGGGAGTCGGAGGGAGGCAAGGCCCAGACCTCCGACGTCTTGAGCAAGTCAAGGCGTACGTGGTGTCTCGAACATGGTCGCGTCAGGAAGCCGTTTCAAGGCGCAGGACAACGGACTCCGGACGAAGCAAGGGACCCAGATGAGATCGGTGGTCTGAGTGGGTGCGTCCTCGCATTGAGGCGTTGTATGTGCGTCCCGCCGCAGGGTGCGTTGGCATTTAATCGTTCGGCCTACCATGTGGACGTCGATCTCCCGCAAGAGCAGTGGATTACGTGATGATCGTGCCATGTGTTTGCCGACGTGAAGTTGAGCAATATCGCACAGGTGTGTGTTCATACTTCTGTTTGTTGTGCCGACTCCCTTGGGTCCTTCACACTTCCTGCGGAGGCGCTCCACTTGAACACCGCTCTCAGCACCGCCCCTCAAGCAGAAAGGATCCAGCTGCTTGAGTTCGTGCGGTCGGGCTTTGCGGATTATACACTTGCGCTTGTCCGTGATTGGCCCGCACTAACGTAATACAGTGCAGACCCATGCCAAGAAACACCCTGCTTGCCTCCAGGGTGCCCTGGGTTTCTTGAGTTTCGATGGTTTTGCGATGGAAAGCGTGACGTGCCCACACCAAAAAATCAATGGACGTCCTAGTGTCTCAGGGTTGGGTTTCTTGTGGAAGGTTTCTTGTGGACTGGCCTCCACTGTATACACCTGCGCTTGCCCGTGGTTGGCCCGTACTCGCGTGATACGACCAAGCGATAACAGGATTTCCCAGGTGGGTCGCAGCCCCTGCCTTTGGAAGTGGACGATTGTAAACAGATGTTTCCGGTTCGCCGTCGTCGTTGACGCCGTCGAGGCCGCCAGGTTGCAGCCAACGACCCATCGGAGAAATGTTGTTTTAAGCGTACAGTGGAGACCCATGCCAAGAAACGCTTTGCTGGCCTCCTCCTTCTCCTCCTCCTGCGTCCTCCAGGGTGCCCTGGGTTTCTTGGGTTTCGATGGTTTTGCTGTGGAAGGCGCGACGTGCCCACGCCAAATCCATGGGCGTCCTGGGGTGTCGGGGCTTGGTTTCTCGTGGAAGGCTTCTTGTGGACTGGCCTCCACTGTACCCGCCCGATGTATTTGTTGATCCCCGTCGTCGCGTGATCGCTGAGTTAGACAAGACAGGCCATACAAGACAAGACAGGCTGCGCGCCGTGGTGAGCGGCGTCGTCCTTCTGGCGCCCCCCCCCCCGTCGGCACCAAGAGACCGCGCATGCCCCGCGCCGATGGCAGTGGCGGGCAGTGGCACGGCCCCCCCGGCGGTCCAGGAGCTCGAAGGCAGTGCACCTTGCCTGGCAGGAGGGGGCGCTGCGAGGAGGTGTCTCTCGATGTCGCAGTGCGAGTAGGGGATCGACAACATAATCGATTTACACCAAAATCAGATGTCTCGTCGAATCCACGGAAGAATACTCAGAGTCTTCAGTAGATACACGAGCACTCTACGTATTCGTCGTAGCTCCGATGGGGAAAATCAATTTGGGGGTAAATCAATTCTGTAGTCGACCCTCTACTGGAGCAGTGCGACGTCAGGGCTCTCTTGCTCTGCCCTGCCTGCCAGGACTGCCTGGCAGGCGCAACTCCTGGGAAGGTGGAGATGCGGGCATCGGGGCCTGCCAGCGCCCGGGGCCAAAAAAGGCTTGAGCCAGAATGATTGCGGAGGTGGCGTTGCGTAAAGGCTCCTCTCCTGTGCAGTCAAGATGCTGAGATAAGGGCCACTTTCACTGATCCCGTTCCACTACTCGCAAAGTGCCTGCTCGCAAACGTCTGCAAAAAAGCACATGTCTGCTTTGGCGTGATGTATCGCAGATCCCCCGCGGCGGATCCAGGCCATTTGCGAGAGCTACCTTGCGAGTAGTGGGAACGCGCTCGTCTACAGTGAGGGCTCGGGGTCTTCGAGCCGTGCCCTGGGTCTGGGCTGGAGCCCCGTTCGTGGCCGAGGCTCGCCGTGGCCAGGAGAGCCCCTGATGCAGAAGGATGACTGCACGTCGGCTCGGAAATACGGCCTCCCTCTCTCTCTCTGGCCCTCTCCCTCCATTGCATCTCTATCTCTCTCTCTCATGTTCTCCCTCTATCTCTTTCTCGCTCTCGCTATTCGTCTCGTTCGTGGTAGTGGTGTGCCCATGCCAGTGGTATTACGGTTCGTGCTATGTTTGTACCAGTACTACTCGTCGCCTTCGTATTTGCATATCCGTATCATTATACTACGATTAAAAATAATACTCATAGCATCAGCATTGGGATTATCATTAGCAGTACCATTGCCATTAACAAATAAGGATGCTAATGCGAATACTAGTCGAACTAATATGAATAATGATAACGTTCGCATTACGATTCGTAGTATTGATCATAGTATGGTTAGTTTGCTTGTTCTTCTTATTAGTATTGTCCTTCGGCCCCGTCCGAGGTGCAGGCGTCGAAAACGTTCGAGTACTGCGCTCGGGAGGCATCACAGGTGTTCGGCGGCGCCTCTGTGGTGCGCGAAGGCCGCGGTTCCTCTCGCGGGGGGTTGGGGGAGAGCTCTTTGCCCCACAGTCGTTCTTTGTCCTGCATTTCGTTCGTCCTCGATCTCCTCCTCCTCCTCCTCCGCCTCCTCCTCCCTCCTCCTCCTGCTCCTCCTGCCCTGATCTCTGACGAAACTGAGATGTGGTTTGTCGATCTGAGCGTTTGTCCTAGATTTAAGCCTCCCCAGGCGCTACGGGGCCCCAGGACCATCAATCATGGATCGAGGGCGACAAACCAACCCCGGGGAAGGGATGGGGACCTCTGGGGCCGCGCATTGGACAAACAAAATATGACGGCGGATATCAGGTTATGTTGCGAAGGCCACGGAGGAGGAGGAGGAGGGGGGAGGAGGGAGGGAGGGAGGAGGAGGAGGAGGAGGAGGAGGAGGAGGAGGGGGAGGAGGGGGAGGAGGAGGAGGAGGAGGAGGAGGAGGAGGAGGAGGAGGGGAGGGAGGTAGGAGGAGGAGGAGGAGAGGAGGAGAAGGAGGAGGAGGAGGAGGAGGGAGGAGGAGGAGGAGGGAGGAGGGAGGAGGAGGGAGGAGGAGGAGGCGGAGAGGAGGAGGAGGAGCAGGATATGATCTGCCATGGTAGGAGATGGCAGAGAAGTAGTCGGCGGATGAGCAAAGGGGATGGGAGGCGTAGTGTGGGGGGGAGGCGGAAGTGGCGGGGAAGGGAGGGATGGATAGAGGGAGAGGCCATGGAAGCAAGAGAGGGGAGACGTGGATGGAGGACGTGGGGAGTATAGTTGGCAGGTCTGGAAGTGAAGAAAGAGGGAGGGAACAAGAAGGCGGGCCGGTTCACGCTCCACTGAAGTGGCTCGTCCTCTTCCTCCTCCTCCTCCTTCTCCCCCTCCTCTTCCTCCTCCCCTTCCTCTTCCTCCTCCTCCTCCTCCCTCCTCCTCCTCCTCCTCCTCTTCCTCCCTCCTCCTCCTCCTCCTCCTCCTCCTCCCCCCTCCCTCCTCTTCCTCCTCTCCTCCCTCCTCCTCCTCCTCCTCCTCCTCCTCCTCCTCCTCCCCACCTCCTCCTCCTCCTCCCCATCTCCTCCTCCTCCTCCTCCTCCTCATCCTCATCCATCATCCTCATCCTCATCCTCATCCTCATCCTCCTCATCCTGCTCCTCCTCCTCCTCCTCCTCCTCCTCCTCCTCCTCCTCCTCGGGCTGCACCCAGGACGCCGACAGAAGGAACGCCTCTGCGCTCGGGAGGCGCTCGGGCTCCCGGGCCGCTCCATAGATTTGTCTCGTCGAGCTCGTTCGTGGCCCGGGCCCGCCGTGGTCAGAAGTGCCCCCCTCCTGCCTGGCTCTGCGCACTCCGAGTTTCTTAGTAAGCGTCGGGGGGGGTGCTCCCGCCGACAGCCCCACGCCGAACCCCGTCACGGGCAGCCACCGCGCGCCGAAGGCGCTCCGACCCCCGTCGCAGCGCGACGGCGAGGCGAGGTTGAGCCCGTCGGGGGGGTCCCCCCCCACGCTTACCAAGAAACCCAGAGTACGAAAACTAGCACGGACACCGTGGTTCCACTCTCGTGCCAGAGTTGGGAGGAGTTCGGCCATTTGCGCGTCGAGGCAGCCTTGCACTTCGGAAGCTAGGTAGCGAACGTCCCTAAGCCGCTGCTCGCAACCTCATGGTATGTGGCAATGTTTTTGTGTGTTCTCTCTCTCTCTCTCTCTCTCCCTCTCTCTCTCTGGGCACAGTGTAGCAAACTACCTCCAGAGGTATCGAATTCAGGAGGCAGGGAGGCACAATTTCGCAAGTCGACCTAGGATTACATCCTGACAGCAAGTCGACCGTACGGAGCGGCAGGCCGCCGCGGCCGCCGCGCCCGCGGCGCCGACCCGCCGAGCGCCACGAGGAGCAGCGCCGCCGCTTCCTTTGCAGGACAGGCCCGCGTCGCGTCGACCCGCGGCGACTTCGCCGCCGGCGTTCCAACGTCAGCGCCGCTGGAGATCCAGAATTTGAGCAGGGACCGACCGTCCCGGCATTCCTATAGTCATACCGCGAAAGGTTCTTAGAACCCCGTTCTAAGAACAAAATCACTGTTCTTAGAACATAGACCCGATGTGATAAACCAAGACGCTCCCAGCCAGGAATGTTCTAAAAACATGTCGTGGAAACCACAAAAAGTTCTTAGAACGTTGTTTGGTAGAGCTATTGGCGAGCCAGGACGCTTCGCCACTGCTTGAAGAATCGGTCGAGGTCGAACGTCCGAGAACCACCGCCTGTGGGATCGATCTTCGCGGACCTCCACAGGCAGTGGATGTGGATACGTTCGAGCCCCCGGGGGCCAACACATATCCATATCCACCGCCCGCTGGGGCACCAGGACCCCAGGATAATCCCCGCCTCGCAGAACGATCGGACGTTTCGAGTAACGGCCGATCGTTCGAGGTTGCACGGTGCTCGCGGTGTCGGGAGCCAGAATCGGTCGAGGTCGTGCGATTGGACGCTTCGGGTCATTCGAAGAAGAAGAAGAAGAAGAAACGCCATAAACATAAACTGTTGGCGCTCCGCGCAGATTTCTTGGAACCGCGCTGGTCCCATCCGGCAGCGCCTCCAGCACCAACCTTGGCGCGCTCCGCGCGCCAGGCAGGGGTCCAGCGCAGATCCAAGAAATCTGCGCGGAGCGCCAAAAGTTTGTGTTTACGTAGTTATCCTTCTTCTTTTTCTTCTTGTGACGGCCGATCGTTCGAGGTTGAACGGTCCCCGCAGTGTCGGGAGCCAGCGCCGAAGTCTGCACGACACGAACCTGCCGCACATAGGGCGCAGCTGCGACGCGGCCGGCACCGCCTTCATCCCGATGGCGATGGAGGCCTGCGGCGGCGGCTGGGGCAAGCGGGCCCAGGACCGGGATCAGTAGTTCCAGAGCGGTCTGGAACGCTTCCTCAGCGCTCCGGAACGGCCGCGGCGCCCGGGGCATCCTCCAGAATCGCTGGATCTCTGGGATCCCCGACTTTGGGGGAACGAACTATGACATAGACATGAAAGCTCAGAGGTCCGCGCGGAGTTCTGCCTCCGGCGCCGCCAGGGGGGTCCAGCGCGGATCCGAGATATGAAGGCGGAGGTCCGAGCTTGTATGTTTGTGTCAGCGTTCGTTCCCCTAGATTTATCCTGGCCAGATTTGTTGCCTCAGCCTGCCTCCGTGTTTCACCACCCACCAAGCCACCCCAACCCAACCCGAAGGCTTCGATTTGCCCTCGATTTCCAGTGGGGGTGTCTGGGAACATTGGAAAAAAACATATGGAACCCGTACCCCCCAACACGAAACTCGGGTCTTCGGGTTGGGTTGGGGTGGTCTTGGTAGGTAGTCAGTGTTAGCAACGCGGCGCGCCTCGACCTGGCCGCCCTGGCGGTTCGCGCGGCGGACGCCACACAAGGGAAGAGCTTGCCGCCAGGGCGGCCTGCTACGGAGCAGGCCCAGCTCTCGCTTCTTCTTCACTCACTGCGCACCAGACTCTGGTCGGGTATGTCCTTCTACAGGCGGATTTTGGAGGGCAAATTGAAAATAATCAAACAGACTATTCCAACATTGTATACTTATATTCTTATATAACACCAAAAACAAAAAAACGTCCCCATGTTATGTCCGGACTATTCTTGAATATTCCTCCTGGACAGCGGCGTGCCTGACTTAGCACCAGGCCACCCCGACCCAACCCGCAGGCCCCAAGCTGCCCTTCATTCCGAGTGGGGTGACATCCACGAACATGGAAAAAAACACGCACAGATGGAACCCGCATGCCCTCTGAGCTACAGTCAGCCCGCATCACAAGGATGGGCAACCTCCCCAAGGCTACCCTGGTATCCTTGCCCCGTCGGCCCATCCTCGGCCGCTTCCGTTGGCTGCGCCCCGCTCGAGAAGCTTCGAAATGGGCGTCCAAGACCCTTGCATCCTCATCGCGCAGCCTTCTGATGCGGACCGACTGTGGTCCACAAGGAATGCGCGCGGGTCGCACTCCGGAGGCTGCGGGCGCCACGCAGGGCACCCGCAGCCAGGGCGGCCGCTGAGACGGCGGCTTACTCGGCGGACTCCGCGCGAGGGGCCACGCGGCCGCCCCCAAGCCCGCCCCCCGCCCCCTCCGCCGAGCTTCCCTCCCGTCCCCAGACGGGGCCCCGGGTGACGCTTGGCGGTCGGCGAATGCCGCCGACGAGGAGCCCCGCCTTTTCCTCGAAGAAGAACGAACGCTACAAACATCATAAAGTGTCAGCGCTCCGCGCGGATTTCTCGGATCCGCGCGGGGGCGCCCTGTCGGCGCCTCCGGCGCCGCCCCTGGCGCGCTCCGCGCGCCAGGATGGGGGGCCCACCGAGAAGGAGGCCTGGGGCGCGTCGTGGAGGGTCCTTCTCCTCCTCTTCCTCCTCCTCCTCCTCATCTTCCTCCTCATCATCCTCATATTGCTGCCCGCGGCTTTTTGTGGCTCTCTTTCGGGCCGCACTACCATTCTCAAGCTTCTCAGGTGTCCTGCCTGGAATGCAGGACCTCGCCCACCATGCAGCGGACGTCCTGAGGTTTGGGGCGCAGGCGCTTGGGGCCTCGCTGGTGGCGCGCGCTTCTGCGCCCAGTTGCGGGAACTGCTCCCCGCATTTGGCGTGCCCTGCGCCGCCGGCCCTGGCTTGCCCTTCCTGCGTGTGCGCGGGCGCTGGCGGCCAGGTGGTGGAGCCCTCGTGCGCGGGCCTCGTGGCGGCCTACGCGGTGGCCGCCTGCACGGTCGGGCTCGCCGTCGGCGCTGTGGCAGGCGCCTTCTTGGCGCGCCGCGCGCTCGCACCGCCTCTCGAGCCTGCGATTGGCGAGCTGCCCACGGAGGTGATCGACATCGCCGTCCTCGCTGCCGAGCAGGTGCGCCTTGCTCGCGCCAGAGCCCCAGCGCTGCAGTGATGGCGGGGAGCTTCCACGCCATACGCTACCGCGTCGGCGGTGTGGCCCTGTGGCACGAGCGTCTGGCACTCGGGGTCTCAGCGGGGTTCGCCTACGTCGTCACGCCCGACTTCGAC